CAGCGGGTTCCCGCACAAAGCCTAGCGGAATTATAAACCTCCTATTTTGCAAAAACATCACCAGCGGCTCGGCAAAGTCTCTTCTTGCAATGGTGTTCGACGGCGACAAGAGATCTATTTCTCAGATTGTAGAGGACAAAAATCTCCTTTTCCAAAGCCTTTCCCGCCATGAATACATTGCGCTGGCGGAGGAAGTCATGCGCCAGAACCCGAAGATGGTCGGCGAAATTCGCGAGAAAGGGCAACTGGGCAAGATGGGTTGGTTTGTTGGCCAGATCAAGCGGATCGGAGACCCGAACAGAGTGGAGGCGCAAAAGGCAGAGGAGATTTTACGAGAGCTTATTCTCAAATAATTAATATCTGCTCAATCCGCTGTACCAAGTCAGCGGGGATTAGTAGCGTGGCGAGCAGAGGGCCCGGTTACATATATGTACTATACAATAGGAGAAAAAAAGTAACTGTCATAATTATAAATAGCCTCCCATTTGCGTTTGCTCTAAACCGATTTTTGGTGCTTGAAAGTATTCCGTGGTGCCAGTTAATCGCGGCATTCCGCCATTGCAAACCAAAACTCCGCCAAAACGACGAGAATAACCGCGTCCGTCCGCGTGACCAGTACCATTGGGGTCAAGCGGGCAGCGGCGTTCTGCGACATTCCTCTCTTAAACATGTACTTAGGGGAAATGGGGCGGGATATAAAGTGGCTGGCCTGGCCCTCGTTGTGCAGAGCTCCATCTTTCTTCCCCTAAAAGCATGTTGAACCGGGGTGGACGGGAGCCGGAGGGAAAAAATGGGATAATAGTAAAAGGGGAGAAGGGCAAATGCTACCTTGCAGTGGCCTGATTTGCTGGGAACCGTTTTCTGGATATTTTCCTCTTCTGATTCTCTTTCTTTTGGGTTCCTATTTAACCAGGGTGCTTTTCTCTCTCATCATCATCATCATCATCACCATCACCATCATTTTTCTTTCCTGCTTGCAAACCACCGCTGATATCCGTTATTTTGTACATTACATTTCTTACATTCCCAACCACATTCTCGCGGGAAGAATATTAGACTTGTTATTTGGTTACTTGTTTATTTTCCTGAAGTTCTACCTTGTTTCTCAGTTGATTGGCGGGGATAGCCTCAGTTTTCTCCCCTCTGCTTCTTCCGTTACACTGTCCCGAGACAACTGCAGAAAAAGCGCAAGAAATCAAATAATAGAAGGGGGGTAAATCTGAATATTTTTGACCTTTGCCTGTCTCTTGGTTCTTGAACCTTTCTCGTTGCTCAGCTTAGTCCCAGTCTGTCACTTTGAGCTGTGCGCACCTCTGGTTTTTGACTAGAGTTTCGGTTCTATATCTTAAATTTGGAACCTCAAGGCCAAACAAGGTAGAATCATTCACAGGAGCCCACCAGTTGAGTCCAAAGAACGCAAAAATGGCCAAGGAAAGTAGCAACAACGGCATTCTTGCGCCTATGACCAAACGGAGATTCCTTTCCAAGCCCAACGAGGTAGGAGTAGTGGCGGTTGGCTTTGCTGGCGGGCAGGTATGTTAATCATCATGACACACACATCCGCTGGACCCTTATATATTTATGTGCTCCCACCAGCAGCTACCCAGGACGCATAGCAAATACTAACTCTCCCACCAACCACCAGTCCAAGCCGGGGGTGGATGCAGGTCCTACCGCGCTGATTGAAACAGGGCTGCTCGAGCAACTCCACGAAGATCTAGACTACAAAGTCTCCTACGACAACACAGTGAACACCTACGACGACATCGTCCCAACCACGGACCCGAACTTCCGCGGCATGAAGAAGCCGCTGGCCGTCAGCGCCGCGACGGAGAAGCTCAGCCAGCAAGTCTATGAGCACGCGCGCGATGGCAAGTTCGTCCTAACCCTTGGTGGCGACCACTCCATCGCAATCGGGACTGTGTCGGGGACCGCCAAAGCCATTCGTGAACGGCTGGGGCGGGAGATAGCGCTGATTTGGGTGGATGCGCATGCGGATATCAACACGCCCGAGACAAGCGGCAGTGGGAATATCCACGGGATGCCTGTGGCCTTCCTGACGGGTCTGGCGAAGGAGGAGAGACGCGATATTTTCGGGTGGTTGGAGAAGGACCATCTGGTCAGCACGCGGAAGCTGGTGTATATTGGCCTACGCGATGTGGATCGCGGGGAGAAGAAGATTCTGAGGGAGAATGGGATTAAGGCGTTCAGTATGCATGATATTGATAAGTATGTTCCTTTTGCTTCATTAAATTACCATTACTTAATTTCCGTTTCCGTTTCTTCATCCTCTGTTCTTTTCTTTGGACCCGTTGCTAACCTAGTATGGCGTCAGACATGGGATTGGACGAGTTGTCGAGATGGCGTTGGCGCATATTGGATCTGATACCCCAATCCATCTCTCGTTCGATGTGGACGCCCTCGATCCGCAGTGGGCTCCCAGCACAGGAACCCCCGTCCGAGGAGGGTTGACTCTCCGGGAAGGGGATTTTATCGCCGAATGCGTTCACGAGACGGGCAACCTAATTGCGATGGATCTGGTTGAGGTGAACCCAAGCTTGGAAATCATTGGTGCCAATGAGACCATCCGGGCAGGCTGCTCTTTGGTCCGTTGTGCATTGGGCGACACTCTTCTCTGAAGCTACCACGCAAGGAGACGTATTTTGATTTATTGATTTGTTGGTGGTAATTTTATTTTCGTTGATTTCCGGGGGTTACTGCTATTAGAGGATGCGGGAATTGGGATATTTTGTAATGTGCGAACTGAAATGGTCGTGTATTTAAATAATATTTAGCCTAGCAAGCTCTTGGAAACCTTGGTGTTTGTCTTTGTTTTGATATTTATCACCGCTCGTTACGCAGATCGTAGCTTAAAGATATTGAACGTCGTTATCAACAAACCAAAATATTTACACAACGAAGACAAAGCGTAAACGACGAATTCTAGGAATCCCGTTCACGAGGTGTTCTTCACCAGAATGCCAACAGACAGTTGTTTTGCATTGGGCTACGGGGATGTTCGTTCCCTGCCACCAGCTTGATTCCCCCAGCCTCCTCAATTATTTAATTCACTCGTAAACAACCACGCAAGAAAGCTCGATCAGTCAAGTTATGTTCAAACAAGTGACCAAAGTTATTTGTTTCTGCTTCCCATACCTTCGAATATATATTCCTATCCCTTGTCCACCACCACCACCATCTATATACAAAGCAGAGACAGAAACAGACACTTTTTACTTTAGCGTGTCCAGGCCATTGACCCAAGTTGAACGACCAGTTAATGCGCTCAGCGACTGAAGTATCCTCGGTTCATTGAATTGAAACAGAGTTGATTTCCCCGCGCCATCTATTTATGCTCCGTTGGTTCTGTCATCGTGGTCAATTCCGATTTGCAACAGAAAGGTAACGAAAAGAGTGAGAGAGCATCGGGCTGCCTGTCCACATCATCACGCATCCATTCGTCGTGCGCCCAACGCTTCCTGGGCTCCCTGCATCAAGCTTTTGATTAAATGAATACTTTGCTCCGCAGACCACGACAATACTTTCTCGCTCTTGCTTCTGGGTCTTGCTCCCTTGCCTCTGTCCGCAACAGCGTCACCTTCATTAGATAAATTGGCTCGGCTCCAAGTGATGTACATTGGTCTTCAGAGTCGACTTTCGGAGGATTTCCCAGTCGAACTGGTTAAATAGATAAAGAAATAGCTGCAAGGCGGCCTGAATACCTCGCTTTATACCTGAATCAAACCCAGGCTATTTATTATCAGCGATTATTCTTTTCTTCCTTGCACGCAATTCCCTGCTCTTGACGCTGCACGATCCCATCCGCCCTTCGAACCCTCGCAAACCGTCCTCCGGAGAAGAGGCTACCCTTCTTTTTTCGCCGGTCGATCGAGCAACCCCGCGATTGTTTGGTAGATTCCTCCTGCATCCTCAGAAGTCACCTGAAGCTACTTTATCCAAAGTTTCGACTAGGGAGCAAGTGCTATCCCTCTCGTTCGCAGCTCTCTCTTCGCCATGTCAAGCTCGAGCTATACAGCAACAACGACGCACGTAACGCGAAAGTTCCACTGGCCAGATATACAACTGAACATATGGTTCTCCGTCGTGCTTGCGGGGTCAGCGACATGTCTAGGCATCTTCAGTTGGTTCATGACGGTGCAGGCTCAGATGGAGCTACCGACACCATGGTAAGTTCCACACATCTTCCCGCATCTTAAATCCATCCCATGCCCTACCCACAAAATGGCCAAAACCACTAACATTAATTAAATCATTCGCTTAAAACCTACAGGGTCTTCCCATTCATGATAGCCACTGCGACCTTGTCGCTCATATTCCTGTGCCTGATCGTGTTCCTCGCCATGCAGCACTCCCTAATACCCGAAATGATAATACTGGGCAGCTTCATCCTCTTCGTGCTCTGGCTCGCGGGCCTGATCGGCACGGCTGTGCAGCTGTATGGAAGCAAGGCGAGCATCAATTCGAATTGCCAGAATTGGGTGTCTGGTTACGAGTTCAAGGGCGCGAGTATCAATACGCTGGCGTGGTTAACGAATTTTAATATCTGTATGTTTTTTGTTTCGGGCCACAATTTTCTTTTCTTTTCTTTTCTTTTCTTTTCTTTTTTTTTTCTTTTCGGTTTTTTTTTCTAACAAAAAGACTGTACAGGTAATTGCTGGAAAGCTGCATTCGCATTCGAGGTGGTCGTCTCAGTCTTCCTCATCTGGATGCTTGTCATGGCATTCCAGGTCCGGAAGCACATTGATATTTTTTGATTGATTAGGTAGATAGGCCGAAAGTCATCATCGTATCGCGTCGCACCGCATCTCACCGCATCTCACCGCATCTCATCTAGCTCCTTTTCTTCGCTGTTTATGATTGACGACCGTTCCTTCTTGTTATTTTTCATATATATATTGTATAGTATGTATATATCTCACTCGGCATCTTGATATCCCACACATGATCTGGAGTTCATTTATTTGCTTTTCTTTGTCTGTTTTTTTTGGGGGTGCGAAATGGGAAAGAGACTGGGCTGGACTGCTGGCAAAAGTGTGTGGGAAACTCACGGTTTTGTGGACAAAAAAGAGGAAGCTTATATATGTTTTGGTTGTGCTTGATTGACGTTCCCTTTTTATTTTATTTTATTTATTTTATTTTTTTTTTAAAAAAAAACAAGTTGCATGGCGTTCAGGAAGGGGGAGAAGAATGAACATGGGAAGGGAGTTTTCTGGCTGTCCCCTTCTTTAGAACCTATCTTTATTTTTATTTTTCTCTGCCTAGGTACTCCCATCGTAACAGCAAATAGAGCCGATGCCTCCGGATAATGCTAAAGGTATCCACGGATAAAAAAAAAGCATACTTTAGACCCTAACTCCCCATACCTATATCGCAAGTGACGGGCGCTCCCGGAAAATAGCAAGGTACATATGTTGGCTTCAATGTATGGCTTCAATGTATGAGCAAACATCATTTCCCAAGCAACATATTTTGTTTCTCGAGATAGATAAAATATAAACCTTTATTATTCCCGAATCAGGGTCGGTTGCCGGGCGAGCTTGTTATTTTAAGTTCGTGAAGAAGGTTGCCTTGGTACCAACTGGGAGGCTCAAAATAGCAGTTTTAAAAGTCGATTCGAGAAACGGGTCATTCAAGGGATTCGAACTCGCGCACACAATAGTGTGCCAGTAGTATATATATATAACCAGAGAGGAGTACTCTCTTTATCGGCTCGTCCTAAGAGCTTC